TTCACTATTTCAAAATAAAGGTGCTACTACTTGCGAAAAGCGGACTCCACTCCAAGGCAGTGAAAAGAAATCATTTCGTATGCGAAATTACTACGAAATAAATCATATCGCTCTACATAGTACTGGCGTACATGCACATCTCATCGGCGTTTCGCTGATTTGCTGCGTGTATTTTCTTATCCGGGTATTCCGCTCCACCAGGAAGTCAAGGGTCCCGTGTCATTGGCGAGAAACTCCATAACGGCTATCTTACACAGTAAGCGTACTGCAACGTCCAACCGTCAGCCACATACGACAGGATATGTAGGGGTGGTACTTGGCGGAGTAACAAAAGATAGATTGGTTGGTTTGGGATGGTAAAAAGCGTATGGATAATGTAGTAAATGTTTGGTAGATATTCTTACTTTGTTCTAACAGAGTTCTACTTTTCGGAGTCTTTGTAGGTGCCGAAGGAGGCATGAGACATTAAAGTCATCTTTGAGGTATTCTTAGGTTAATTTGGGAACATGTAGATGAGAATTGGAAGTCATAATAATAACAACTAAGTTAATTTTTCATTGGTTCTCAGGCGCGCCTATGTCATTGAGACATGATCGTAGCAATTCGCCAAAGAGGGATCAGGGATTGTAGATTTGTGGAGCTTACGCCCAGTATCGCCGGCGCGGCATACGTCTGAAGTCCGTGATTAAGATATTACCAATCTCTCTGTGACGTTCAAGCTTACGCGGTCTTTTTGGGAGTAGGAGGCTGAGGCGAAGCATGGCGAGTTTGAGTGTTGTGTAAAACATTATTCGGATACATATCTACAAATCTTGAAACTCAAAGATCGAACTTGAACAGATCGCTTAATAAAAGAAACTATTTAAGATATTTTACGAGTACTCATGGTCTAGAGCGCTCTGTGGTCAAGAAACTGAATAAGATCGCACGTGGCTCTTTTCGAAATCAAATCTTTACAGATCTTACAAACGATTAAAAACATACTTTCTAAGCAAAACATCGACATCGTCTAATCTTCATGAACATACCCAACATCCCCTTCCCCTAAAACACGCCATTTGTTTTGGCGGGCGATAATTATGGAATCCAATCTGATATCATTGTATTTACTGTACAAAAGAAATGGCCATTAAGACTGCCGTCCTTCATCTTGCCCACTTCTACCCTGTTCATCACCACCCTCCTCTTTCCACTTACTGCGTAGCCATTTCAGTTTGAACCAGTCGCTCAATGCATCTTGGCTTCTGTTTTCTGAGCTATATGCCCAACTCCTTCTTGCTCTTGAGGAATCGGGCAAGTCTGCATCTGATAAATCGCCATCATCTGGGTCGGGATGATAGAGTAGTGGCGAAGATGAAGCAGGGTCGGCCGGTCTCTTCCCTTGGGATACGCTTCTGGTCTGCCGGGTGAGGCCTTCAAACCAAGATCTCCGGCGCATCTGGTTGAGCCAAGCAGATTGCGCCTTGTTTCTTCGTGGAGGTAACGTGCCTGATCTTGGCCTATGATCAAGATCCACAGATCGGATTGCAGGTGAGGGTAAGGTCTCACGGTCGTTGAGCTCATCCCATATTTCGTGCGTTTCCTCGGAAATAGTCAAGCGTCGTCTTCGCGAAGGCTTGTGAGGACGTGTGTTGGCCTGGGCTGCGTGCAAGGCTGCAGTATCCAGTGACAATCGCTTCTTGGGGTTGGATAGGGGCCGAGCAGGACCAGCCAATGCTCGGGCTAGCAGTGGTGTTGTTTCGTCAATAGATTTACGTTTGGTGTGCGCAGAGAAGTAGCCACGATCTCCTCCAGCTTCCTCATCGGTGAGCATTGGTGATGCCGGATCGTCGAGAATATGGGTATGCGATATGCCGATACCAGGTTGAAGTGCCGTCTTAGGCATGGGAATCCTACCCACCTTGACTGCTACGGGTGACCTTGGTTCTTCCTCATTGTCCTCGAGACGCCAGCTCAAGCAGACAACACCTGCAAGAAGGACCACGGTACCGAGTGTGATCAGTCCAGCGTGAAGACTTGACAGTCGGTCACTTTGGTCAAAGTATATCAATCCGTCTATAATGGCAATAATGTTATAGACACAAAAGACCAAAGGATAGAGGACACTAGTGCTACACAACTTGAGTCCGCAGTGCATATAATAGAGTTGCGTCAGGGCGAATGCAACTAATCCAATTAGGATCATCCAAGACTGCCAGCGATCAAACTCATTGTGGCGGTCCACGATTGTGCGGACCAACAACTCAACAGCACTCTTGGCGACAAGTAGCGAATGCGCAGAGAGGATGCCACTGACGCATCCAAAGGCCATTCCTCGTATCAGGCGTAGTCTGGGAGTGGTGCGGGGATAGATGCGCTTGAGGACCCAGGTGGCGGTAACCAAGATCACTACAGCAACGCCCGTCATGCTCATCCAAATGAGAAAGTTGGTTCGTCCCAGTAAAACTAACAACTGGTCCAAATTATGCGACGGCTCGGCAATGGCGCCGAAGAGGGCTATCAGCAATGCGCCGACAGCGACGAGCAGTGTGCCGGCGAGCGAGTAGCGCGTAAAGGGCTCGCTCAGAATAATAGAGGCGCATATGGAGTTGAAGACGAGGCCAGAAGCCTGGAGGGTGGAGAGGACGGGGAGGGGAAGGGTGGTGATTTGGATGGTGCTGCCGACTATGTTTGCCACGAGGAACATGAGCATGCCCAACTGTCCGGGGTTAGCAAAGTGGTTGTATGTGTGCGGGGGAGAGGATGCGTGCCTGCCATCTCCGTCGCCTGTAGGGTGGTCGTCTTTCGTCATCGTCGTCCTTTTCCTCCTCGAGGAGATGCGACTTGCGCTGGAGTGTAAGGCCGACACTCTGGATGCTGGTCGAGGCGAGGCCGACGATTACTCCCAGCTACGGAGGGGTTAGTCAGCAGATCTAAATTTCTGGCGCAAGACTCACAGCAACGCTCGCGCCTGGCGACATTCCGACCATGACTGTATCTGTTGGCTGCTGTCGGTGACTGCACCTGTGTTACCTGGGGGTGTGGCGCATGCTGTGCGAGCGGAGGACGAGGAATGGGGGGCGAAGAACAACAGGAGAGTAGGAGAGCGCAGCGGGCGGTGGTAGCGTAGACGTGGACGTGGTCGCGAAACGTGACGCTGTCGAGTCGGTGAAGTTGGGGGTGGAGGGCTAGCCGGTGGGTGTGGCAGGGGTCAGCCGACTTGATGATGTATGTAGAGAAGTGGGTTAGGAAGCTGGCGCGACGAGGCGTGTGTGTGTGTGCACCGAATGACAGCTGGGCAAAGAAACAAACGCAGAAAGTGACAAATAAGAAATGCGTGCTGGCGCGACATGGGACTGGTTCGAACGCGCGACGGCGTCGCAGTCAGTGGGAGACACGCTGTGGCTGCGCGTGTGGCTGCCGTGGCTAGTGTAGTGTGGCTAGTGTAGCCAGTGTGGCTAGTGGGGGCGGGCAGCATCTGGGGCTGCTATCGCCAATTGGTGGGCCCAGCGCATGCACCTCAAGCAGCTTGTCCAAGCTCCGTCACTGCCCATACCGCCCGACGACTCCAACTCCATCGCCAAATCCCACGCCCACATACCCCTCCACCACCACCGACAAACCCCCACCGCCGTCGCCATCATGTCGCAAGTCCACGCCCTCTCCGACGACCAGGTATGATGCCCGCCGCAGCTCCAGGCAGCTCCAGAGCTCCCCACCTACGTCAACACCACTCCATGCTAACAAGCCTCCCATGGCAGGTCGCCGGCGAGCTCAAGAAGATGACGGCCTTTATCCGTCAGGAGGCCATGGAAAAGGCAAACGAGATCCGTCTCAAGGCCGACGAGGAGTTCGCCATTGAAAAGTCCAAGCTGGTGCGCCAGGAGCAGGCCTCCATCGACGCCTCGTACGAGAAGAAGTTCAAGCAGGCCAGCATGTCGCAGCAAATCACCCGCTCCACCGTCTCCAATAAGAGCCGATTACGCATTCTGTCCGCCCGCCAGGAGCTGCTCAACCGCCTGTTCGAGGACGCCGAAAAGAAGCTGGGCGATATTTCCAAGGACAAGAACAAGTACCAGTCTATCCTGAAGAACCTCATTCTCGAGGGCGCGTATGCCCTGAACGAGGACAAGCTGCAGGTCAAGGTGCGCAAGGCAGACATTGATCTGACCAAGAAGGCTATCGAAGAGGCTCAGACCGAGTTCAAGAAGAATCTGAGCAAGGACGTTGCCATTACCATTGATGAGAGCGACCCGCTGCCCGAGGGATCGTAAGTTGACATGTCCGATTCATCCGGACTCATGACTAATTCTGTCTAAACAGCGCTGGCGGCGCCATTATTGTCGGCACAAATGGCAAGATCGACATCAACAACACCTTCCAAGAACGATTGAAGCTCCTCGAGTCCCAGGCACTGCCATCTATCAGGGTCACGCTCTTTGGCGAGAACGAGAACAGAAAGTTCCACGACTAAGTTCCTTTTGCACGGCGACCCGGGGGATTTTAATCATCATGACCATGGCATTTCCTCATCCATATAATGTCGGAATACAGGGAACATGTGCGTTTGTACCACGCACTTGGCACACAAGTGACATTTTTTGCCGAGTAAACTCTACACACGTGGAGAAAGAGAGGAAGAGGTGTTCTGTACATTACTCCAAGCAAGATATAGCGAGTCAACTTTGCACATTTACCGTATATGCGGTAGTTCAGAGCATCGTCTCTGGATATTGCTTACTATTTATCTGATTATCGTTACAAATCATCGAACTATGTCGTTAAATCGTATACATGCAGAAAAGAAAAGGGGTATATGTACGTTCATCATCAAGTCCCATCAGTACTTGTCGCCGCCCAAAAATACTGTACCAAAACCTCAGTCGCAAAGATGCCCGTCAATATCAATTTCTTAACGGCCAATCTGTCGTGTCACCATTCCATCCCCTTTCCACTCTCTCCCCATCTCTTAATCCCACATTCTCCTCTTCGTCCTGCTTTTGCTCATAGTATCCGCCATACCCTCCACCCGTGTAATAATACTCCGGCCCATAATCCTCCAAATACGCATCCAACGACATCGAAGAAAAGCTCGACACCGCAAGTCCCGAAGAACTACTTCCTGTCCCGCTATACTGCCCCGCCGCGTTCGGAACCGCCAGTGTCGGGCGATGAACCGATGTATCGCTCGCATCATTCACTGGCACCTCTTCCATTGGACTGGGAGTAGGAACCGGTTTCCGGAGTATACTGCTGTTCCTCCTCCCCACGTCTCTATTTCCACCACCAAAACTCCGTTTCCGATGCGCGTACCGCCCCAACACGGGCGATTCCACGTCGACCTCCCCAGGCTCCCTCATCTCAGCCACAGAACGCAAACTTGACCCGCTGATTCTTCTCCCTCTTGCCCGGTTCGATGAATGGCTATGACACAGCGCCGGCGTCACCATCGGCGTATGTGCATCTTCCCTCCCAACCATTGCGGGAGTTTCAGGGTAATTGTCGTACAGGTCTGACGGGTCGTCCCAGGGGTATTCTTCGGTGCCCCGCGTGTAATGATGGGTTAGTGGTAAGGTGGCGCTGTCTGAAGGACCTTGTTGGAAGGAGAAGCGCGGGATGAAGCCGGGGGAGGAGGGGGGTTGGCTTCCTTCGAGGGTTCTTTTGCGGTGGCGCCGGAGGAGGAAGAAAGATAGGAGGAGGATGGAGAGGGAGAGGAGACCTAGGGGGAGGGCGAGGCCTAGAGCAAGTTTTTGGCGAGAGGTGAGGCCCGAGGGGGTGGGTGGTGGTGCGGGGGGCTCGGAGCGTGTGCTGGTTGGGGTTGGGGTTGCGGAGGAGGAAGATGGAGTCGAGATTGTTGGTATTGATGAGGAGGAGAAGGTTGAACTAGAGGTAGACGAGGTCGAAGTCGAAGTCGATGAGGAGGACCGCTCTGACGAAGATGAGGATGGTCGAATCGTAGGCTGGCTCGACATTGTAACCGTACTTGTCCCACTCCCGCTCTCCAACATGGACGATGGAAACGCCGTCGCAGTCGTCTTCGTCACCCACCCGTCCGTCTCCGTAACTACACTCTGCTCCGTCCTCGTCACAGAAGCCGGTACACTGGTTGGCACACTCCCACTCTCCGGCGGTGCCGCCGTCACAGGCCCAAACACATCAATAAGATAACTCTGCACCTCGACCGGCAACTCACGAAACCATTGTGGTCGATTACCGTCCAGGAACTCGGTCCAGAGTATACTTGATACAGCGGGTACGTTTGTAGCAGCGACTTGGCGGAGTGATTGGGGAAGGGCGGTGATGAGAATGTTGACGAACTCGATACTACTCGTCATGTTAGCAGCCATTCACATTGGAAACATAAAATCTTGATGTTTCAATGTGAGGAATAGAGAGGGTGTTCTTACGCATCAATACCTTGTCTCCCTTGCAATCGTGGTGCAGCCGTGATACCAGGCGGCGCTGGCACCACGGCTCCATCTACGACTCCATTTCCAACAACAACAAGAAGAGGATAGAACCATCTTCGTAGCGAGCGCATGTATGAGATGTAGCGAATGTCGTATCGCACACGAAAAGGAGAAAACGAAAAAGACGAAGAAAAGAAAATCCAACTAGTTGTTCATACCCAATCTTTGTTTCACCAATTCACCTCATGTGTATAACTGTAAAGACGAAAGGGTGCAAAAAAGATCAGAAAGCAAATATTTTGCGTACCCCAACAAACTATTTCAAACCCTTTCTCCCCTCCGAAGCCCCAATCTCATCCTCGACCATCTTTCTTTTTTTAGTCCGACCCAAGCCTCCCCTCTCCAGGCACACACTGATGCGATTCGTCCCAACACTAAAGGGCTGTGGCGAAACCTGGCTTCATACTCACGTAAACTTGGTCAACACAGCCCCCCCGGCAAGCTTGATCGCCCCCGCCACAACGCCACCCTCTCCACATAAGAATATACTACGTACTCTACCTGCGCATGTCGGCAGCAAAAGTCCTAGCTAATTATCCGACAGACACGTAACTGGCTCTTTCCAGTGATATACCGAGTATCCCTGGTATTATACTTACGTGGTGGGACGAAAGGTAGTCGTAGTGGGGCTGCGGTGGCGATGGGGTGGGGCTAGGCCCGATGCAGTAATTGGATCGGGTGGATGTAGTGTACATAGCCACGTTAGCTAGCTATGATAGCTACGCATTAGTAGTATGTAGCGCTCTAAGGCTAAGGCTTGAGGTATTAGCGATGCGCTTGGGGAGATAAGAGTAAGGCCGACTTCCTGAGTATGAGTGGTATTGGAATTAACGACATACTTTTGTAAGGACCTGTACTTGGGATAAGGAAAGCTTGTAGGGGAGTTAAGAGCGTTACCTACGATGAAAGTTGTATATGGACCTGGTGGTAAGTCTTTTGTCGCACCTTCTCATGTTGCGCAACTTCAAATATATTAGAGATGTTGATACAATGGCTCCAAGTGGGATATCAAGTAGACTTATTTGGTTAACTTAATGCGCACGAAGGTCGGTATTACGTATTGTTCACTTAGAAAAAAAATACCCATAACACCCCCCTTCTTAAGTTCTCTTGCTGAACAGATTTATCACTACTCTTCCTTACTCCACGTCTTTGATCGCCACTTCCGACTCCTCTCCCTCCTCTTCTTCCGTTTTTCAATTGCTCGAACCTCTCGGTCTACCCAATACGGAGTCAGACATGTTGAAATTTGTTTTAAGATAGCGAGCGTGTCTTGATCCCACTGTCGGTCAGCAAACCCTTTGACAGCCAGCAGAAGCGAAGCTCTTAAGCTGAAATTTTTGCGTCGTTCCCGGCACAGTGGAACCGATTAAAGGTACGTCCAAGCAAAAGTAGTAGTTCGCGGAGAGAACCAGCCCAGAACTCAAAGACTTCGTTTGCCACCTGATAAATGTCGAAAACACCTGAGAGAAGTACTGGGAAATGTACGTTTAGAGCGCGTAAGACACTGAGCTCGTTGATCATTCCATGGCCTACAAACACTATTTTTCGAGCTAAGGGGATTAAGGATCGAACGCGGTCTGTTATATCCGATGGACGGATGTCGATTGTCTTCCCGAAAGATCAACTCTTCAAAAGCGTTTCTAAGGTACGAGGGATATCCTGTGGTGAAGTTGTAAGTCGATATAACCTTGTCTGGCGAGAATTTGTTAATTTCCCTCGTATCGAGAATGGCGAGGCCAACTTGGGAATCACTCTTCTGAAAAAACCCATTTTCAATGCTGTTGATGCCTCCGAAGTCAATGACAATGAGAATGATATCCGATAGGCTAGCTGACCTGGAAGAAGAGCATTTTAGCTGAAAGATCTTGTGGACATGTAGTTCTTTCTTTGTAATCCTTAGTTCTATATGAGGCATGATCCTATTTTTTGTTTTATTTGTCGGCGTAAGAGCTGTATGCTAGGCTTGTTAGTCCTGCTATTTGGTCGTTGGCGGCGGCTCAGTCGACATCACTGATGATTCACATGCAAGGGCAGCCATTTGATGTAACGAAAATTTCTTTTGTGCATCAGTTTTCTAGCTTTCTGTATCTATCCAAGCGAGTGACAAAACTCCAAGATAACAAACCATTCCTTCTAACAACCTCAATGATGTAATGAGCGACGATGAGTTAGACATGGTAGAGTCAACAGCATCTTGTTGCAACCATTCCGCAGAGACCAGAATCGCAAACCACCAATATTCAGCGCAGAGAAGCTTCCTCGGATGAATTCCGACCAATGACCCCTGTCCCTAATTTCGCGGTGTCCAACTAACAGTAGACCTGGTAGGAGTAGCGGAAAGAGATATCCCAGCATCGATCAATGATACCCAAGTTTGCAGCATCGCCATCACAGTTGTTTCCAGTGAAAACTCGAACTATTGTTAATGTTTGTTAGCACATCCGTTCCTTTTTGGTTTCTTTTCTCAACAAAGAGAATACATAATTACATACTTTCGCAGCCGGGTTGCTTCCACCACAGTCGGAGACCTTGGCCCGGGAGACCTCTGCACACTCCATCGGAAACGAGGTAGTCTTTTTGTCCACCGTTGCATCCGGTACTACTGAAGGTGGCGAAGGAGACGGCTTGCTCGTATTTGCCGGCGACGGCGGGGGCAGCCTGGGTGGCGAGAAGGCCGGCAATAGAAAGAATAGATGTGCTGAGCTTCATGGCGCTGGTGCTGGGAGACTGGGAGTCTGAAGTGGACAGAGCTTGGTGGATTGGTGGATGCTGTAGCGGTAGATGATGGTCTATCAGTTGAGATGAAGATGGGGAGGCTTTATATCCGCTGAGTCTCCAGCTCTAATGTATGGAGTCTGCTAGCACTATTGTTTTCTATCACCATATTCCCTTTTTGTGAGACTTGTCTTCTCCAATACAGGCAAAGTGCTGATGTGCTGCATCTCCTGAGGGTTCAGCTACACACTGAAGATGTATACACCATGACACTTAGATGGTATCTAACATATTTTGAGCTAGTTCGGAGACCAAAGTGGGTTGACACGAGAGATGACCGTTAGCACCTACCTCAAAGGTCTCTTGCTCGAGCAGTGGTCTGACGTTACCTTCATGGGATCTACATCTGTGGTAACAATCCGAGAATCCTCTGGTAGTGCTAATCGACAGCTCTACCCAAATCTTAGTTTGAAGGATTCAATATTGTACGATTATGGGTCCATACAACACTACGTGAATTGCAATTAACTAACCGAAAGTATCGTTAGAATACTCTTGTCGCGCTTCAGCCCATCCAAAGACTACAAGCAAAGACCTTGGCATTATACAGATCTTAGTAATACCGAGAGGTAGTGTAACCCTGAACTTGCAATACATGGCGTGATGTACCGTTACATGCAACGTTGATACCGCTGCATGTTGAGAATGACGGGCTTAACGGGCTGATGCACGCGACGGTCCGATGCACGCTTATCCTACCAAGACAACAGCTAGTCTCCTACTGTAACAAGTACCAACTCCACTACCATAACTCCATGTTACGAGTAACAAGAGATGAATCTCTCCTTAGCATGCATCGCATAGTAGGAGAGCGTCAGGCGCACATGTCAAAACCTAATAATTACCATGGAGTAGCAATCACGTGACGTAGCCTCTCTCTCTCAGCAATCTAAACTCCATCACCCTGCATATAGCCAACCTCCACCCTTACATAGCCAGTACAGCCACCACGGCACCACCCGAAGCCAAGCCCATGCACCCAGCCGTTGTCACGCGCTCCTTCAGCCGCCATCTACATCACCGCCCAATCCCGCACCTGTCAGCTGCCAAACCCTCTTCAGCCCTCAGCTCTCAGCCCACAGCTGAGCTCCACCGCCTCCCCCATTCTCGTTGCCAGCTTTCCAGAGAACAAAAAAAAGAGTCTTGTCGCTCATTAAAATATGGATGCGTGTGATGTGTATCTGATGGTTCAACTAGTCGCACTGGAATGGCTTTGAAGACCAAGAAGTACTTGCTCGCCGTTGGAATGCAGAGCGGTGCGAGACGGCACGGCGCCACCCCGCTCGGTTTCCCGCGTCGTGACCTGGCTAATTTACCCGATGTATGCACTACTCAGGATTAAAGTGGCATGTAGCCAGTTCGCACTCGCACGTGAGGTTGTTGGTCCGGGTAAGGAATGCAGTCGGGTAATCAAGGTTCCGAGTCGTAGAAGTGGGGCGCGAACAACGATGCGTGTGTGGCGGTGCTAGAAGGGAACAGGAGTGGCGAGTGTCGGTTGGGAAGCGAAAGGGGCAAGGGAGAAGCGATGGTATGACGATTTCTGTGTGTTGTGTGTGTGTGCTATGAATAGATAGGTGTGAGAGGGATTGTGATTGGGTGGATGTATTTTAGGGTAGTAAGAAACGCGCGCGCGTGTAAGATGTGTGGTACATCAGCAGTGTAGAGTAGCCTTTTGTATAACGCTTCGACTGGTCAATTATAGATTTAGTCTACACAAGAGAAACAGCAAGTAATCATGTACGATACCATAATACTAGTATTTCCCCCATGGATACTACACTGCCCCCAATCCTCAAACACTCATATCCATACTCGTACAATTCATACACCCGTCACATCAACCCCCCCCCCCCCCATCTCCATTTGCCCCTCTAACCAAAATTTTCTCGAGGAAAAGAAAGGCTCTACACCCTCACCCTGGCAGCGCTCTCGTTCCGCTCAAGCGCCATACCAAATCCAAAGTCCTTCCTCCGTTTATTCCCCTTGCGATCACCATACTGCTCGTCAAACTTCTTGATCGCATTCAGACTGCTCATGTCCTCGCTGATGCTGGCGCTGATTTCCTGCAGCGCCTTATCAAAGTGACGGGCATGCAGTGTGCGTTTTTCAGGGAAATCATAGACTTGGCCGCGGACGAGATGTGGGGGCTTAGATGACGACGACGAAGCGGATGTAGAGTCAGTCTTTTCGGGTTCAGATTCTGTGCTGTCGTCGTTTTGTTCTAAAGCGGCTTTTGCGGCGGCCAGTGCGGCCTGTTCATTTTCTTCCTTGACACAGGCGAGAGCTGCTGAGACGGCAATGTTTTTGAGGTCGCTTCCACTATAGAAAGGTGTGCGCTTTGCAATGTCGTCTAGATCGACAGACTCATCTAGTTGCTCACCCCTGAGATGGATGCGTAAGATTTCTTTGCGGTCGGCTTGCGTAGGTAAATCGACCAGTAGGCGGCGAGGCAGGCGACGGATGACGGCATCATCCAGGTCAAAAGGCCGGTTTGTAGCTACCATGACGAACACGGAGAGATCGTTGAGGCCATCCCATTCTTTCAGAAATTGGTTGAGAACATCGCGGTGGGACGCCCGTTCGCGCATTGCATCTCTTGATGCGAATACAGCGTCTGCTTCGTCGAGGAACACAATGCATGGCGACAGTTTGCGCGCCAGCGAGAAGATGGCAGCAACGTTCTTCTCGCCCTCACCAACGTACTTGTCCATGATCTGACTTCCAGACACTTCAAGTACCGAACTGCCACTCTCCTTTGCCACCGCTTTGGCAAGAAGTGTCTTGCCAGTACCTGGAGGTCCGTACAGCAGCGCACCTGAAATCTTCTCGGTCGCTAGAATACCGTAGCTGAATGCTTCAGGCCGGAGCAACGACAGAGAAGTAATTGTGCGTATCGAGTCTACTGTCTCCGTTGGTACGTGAACCTGCTCGAATGTCGTCTTGATTTGATCGGGGTCTGCGATGCCAGGCATAAGTCGCTTCTCATGCTTGTTGGCAGTAGCCGCTATTTTTTGTAGATTGTGTTGACGCTGCATGGCCCTTTCATCCACACGTTTCCGTGCAGGGTCAGGCTCAACCTTTGCTTCCATATTGTTCAGCGTATTCTTGGATCGCTTTGATATCTCGGCCACTTTTTCGAAAAAGGTATACTTGACAGTGTCACTGGATTTCAGCAAGCCTATGGCCAGGGCTACGTGCGCCCAGCTCAACTGGCTTGGCGCATTTCCAGACGTCTGTGCCGGACTCGAAACTAGCAAACCCAGAGCTGTCAGGGCCACCCTGTGCACTTCATCGTAAGTCAGAACCCGATTAAAGTGCGATTCCAAAAATATGGGCGCCCAGTTGTGGAAGCCCAACATGCTCTGGTCCATGTCAGAGATGCCAGCAGCGGCAGACGGATCCAAAGACCGAAGCATATCTTGAATGTGATGAAGGTTTATATCTCGGAATTTGCTCTTTTCATGTGACGAAATATCTGCCGAGGACGCCATACTGGCCCCGAGAGATGCAATGGCCTCGTCGAAGTTTGGCGTGGCACTACCAGATTCGGCTGCCACGACAATAGTTCTGAAGAAACTACTTTCGCCCTCATTCTGAAGACCACGGACGCCGCTGTGTTCTGTTAGCTTCATCGCCAAGATAAAAAAATCAGTTTCCTCACCTGGCGTTCAGTTCGGGCGTGAGGTCGCGTGAACAAGTACTTCCTACGATCATAATGCTCTCACCAGCAATCCGTCGCTTGCGAACAATTTCCTCAAGTCGCTGAATAATACGACCGCCATAGTGAGTGGCGTTCAGCTCCTTAAAGTCCTTTACAAGTATGATTTTGGTCTTTGCTGGAACGTTGGGCTTCTCCGAGGCCTGACCAACTTTCACTGTTAAGTTGATGTCTGCTCTGGCACCAGCTGGCAATGTCGAGTTCAGATCAAGTTCTGCGCTTTCCTGGCCCAAAGAATAGTCAAAGAAGGCCGGGCTCTTGGAGGGTTTTTGTTGTTGATTAGCAGGACGGACACGGTAAAGAGCTTCATTACCGGTGATTCCTCGACTTTGCTTGATGTGGTCCGCATCAATCAAAGCTTCTAGAAGAGCGGCCAGCTTGAGATCTTCTAATTGCATCTCAGCGTGATTTTGATTACGTCCGGGATCTTCGTTTGAAGCAGCAGTAGATGGTCCAAATGGATGTCCCGAGCCAAGTTGCAGGCCTTGTAGATTCTGAGTCATGGCACGCAAAGCTGGTGTAAGGGCAATGATGGAGAGCGGTATAGCACGAGGACGCATTGCGTTCGGATCCGACTGTTCGATAGATGAGGCTTGCGACCACTCTGCTTCGTCTTCGGCACCAGCTTCCTGCACGTCTGCCACGAAGCCGTTTATGTCTGCATTCAGCCGATAAGTTTCATAGCCCAGCGCCCTGATCGAATGTGGAGATGGCTCTGCTCCTTCACCCAAGTAGTCGGCGGCGAGCTGAGCAAGATCTTGAGCATTCAACAAGAGGACGTCAGCGCCCGTTTCAACAGCCCAAGACAAGACGCATGCATCGATGGATGCCTCATGCTCAGGCACAGGTGAATGAAGGATTAGATTTGTCTTGGCAGCAGGGAAAGAGTCGCTAGCTGCTGGCTGTAATGCAGAGAGAGATGCAGCCATGGTGGCGCGAATTTCGGCAACTACTAAGGAGGATAGATGTTTGGAAGTGCCCATCTGCCTGGTCCTGGCGACTTCTCGTTTCCTCGCAGCTATCTCAAGTTTGGCACTCTGTTTTCTCATGGCTTCAATCTTTTTGCGAGGGTCCATGTCGGGATCGTTTTGCAGCTTATCCAACTTTGCCCAGGCCTCGGTGAAAGTACCGTCTTCCGTGATTGCGGCAGCAGGTACATCGCCGGGGCGTCCGGCTTCTGTGCTCGCCACTGCCACATCATGCTTTGACTGTGACGCTGAATTTTCTGCCTGATCCCCCGGTGCCAATATCTCCTCGAGGTACTTGTTGACCCTGTGCTTCTCGTTGTCGTCCAATCGCCGACTCCACAGGCCACGTACTAATCGCGAGAGGAGCTGGACTGGGTCTGATTCGGGCTGAGCCGGCACTACACATGCAGCCTGCTCTCCGGATTCAGCGTGTGTGACTGAGACGGAAAGAATTGTAGGTGGTTGTGGGTCTCCAGGTAGGTCCTCCCGCCGTATCACCCTCCTCCTTAGGAACCAGTCTGGTATGTGCACGGGCGGCAGCCCCTGAGCCTTTTTGCCTCGCTGTTGGCGTCGCAGGGCAGCAGAGTACCTGCGCGATGTCTCTCGTGACCGCTGAAGTTTTTGTGCTAGTATGTCGGGATCTTCTACGGCTACGGCGCCGTCTGCTGTGTCTTCGGTGGCGGTTGATGCCTTGTCTCGGTCCGCTGAATCAACGCCATGCTGATCTATGGGTGTGCCATTGGGAGCTGGTGGGGGATTTGCTGCTTGCGCGAGGGGGCGTGCAGTGTGGAAAGGCCGTAGTCGTGGTATGGATGGGTAGCGTCGACCGCGGATAAAGCGCGCTGGAGGTCTTTTCGTGGACGCTCGCAGTGCTGACCGAATCACGTACATCCGGACGTCGAAAGCACTCCCGGATATGAAGAGAGAGGAGGCCACAGGAATTGATGGCCTTTGAGCGAGGGTTGAGCACTGGGCTGGGTATGATGGCAATTTCGTCAACTTTCTTCATTGTCTGAACAAGGGTCCAAGCCAAGACATGCGGCTGCACCCGCCCTACGGTACCGCTGCACCCTAGTCACGATATATAATGGCAGAAACTTGAAACCGACTACTCGGTTTGTAACATTAATTTCCAGGACCAGTGAATATTTGTTGGTGGCTGCAGTGCTGGAATTCGTGCCAAAACGTGCTGCGCAGATGACGTAACCAGACAGTATACATAGCATGCAAACTCGGACTTGGATAAGTAAAAGATAGATTGCAGGTGCAGAAGGTATGGTGTGCGCGAATCATGTCAAAAGGCTTCTACAGAGACTGCATTGATCGGAGCGACCTGAGGCACACATAATGGCGAAACATGTGATTACATTATGCAAATAGGATGCATGGAGGGAATCATGGTAAGTAGAATGCCGGGTTGAAGCAGTGGTAGGACTTGGCATCCCGAGTAAGATGAGCGATTGCTGTCACCGTGTCGGACCCGCTGGTGGGCTTGTGAGCTGGGTGGTGTATGTGTACATGTACATGTGTATGCACTGCTGTGCTGACAGAGACGAGGTATAAATCCTGAGGGCCGCTTATCGAGCTCCCCATGTCCAGGGCCTAGACACCAATACGAAGACATGGAGATTGGCTGGCTAACGCATCGGTGGAGATGCAAAGAAGGGGGGCCTCTCGGAGAGATTGTGGAGAGGGAGCTGAGATGACTTGTTGGTCTGAAGAGATGGCTCACGATGCGTGCTCTTCTCTCCGCTAGCCAGCCAGCCAGCCAGCCAGCCAGCCATCCTTGGTTGCCGCTTCATGCTCGTGGTGTTTACTACATCATGCTATTGTTTACCATGGCCATCTCGGCGCATGCACGGGGCACGCATGTAGCGCCAGCAGATGTCGCAATCGAATACAGTGCCGGTGTCATTGGTGCGCAGCGTGGATCCTGGAGAGGAGCGTGTTTGTATTTTGTTCTGCCACGTCGTGCGCTGTGGTGCATGGACGCTTAGTAGGCGCATGCCCGCAGCGAGGCCTATGGCCAAATGGCACCGAAGGGCAGACGCGTGTGTGGAGGCCATGGTGTGGTTAGAGGGCCGCCAGAGGTGCTATTTTTGAGCGTAATCGTGCATATCGGCACACAAAGTTTATAGAGGTCCATGGTGGACAGAAGATAAGTAGGCCAGCCCCGCGAATATCAGAGTGGCTGAAACGGAGCGCATGTGGTTGTGCGATGGTCAAGGTCCAAGGTTCGAGGGGCAGGGCCCACACCGTCGGGGGTGCTAAGCGAGCGGCTCTGATTGGCCGCCGCCCCTCCGCCTGTTCCTGCTGTTCCTGACAGTGGCCCGTGCATCATGGTGATCGTCAATTCCTTCTGCGTGTTGACCGCCCGGGCGAGTTGGCTGTTGAGTCCAATTCACTCGTCCAGGCGCTGGCCTGCCACCTTTACCATCTCAAACTGCCCTGAAGGCCCCCCTGCCATCTCCGCCTCCATCGCCGTCCTCGACAACATCTATATCCTTCGCGCACTCCCCCGCCCACGTCATCTCTAGGTGCGCGGTCGCTTCGCGATAGCTTCGGGTCAACCCTTTCTTAGTTAGCCGCGTACCATTGATTCCCTTACCAACCACGCGACGGGCCCTTCACCCACCTCCTCCAAGCAGGCGCACCCAGTGCCATGACGCCTTTTTGACATGTCTGCTAGCCATCCCGCACCTCATCCACCATCGACCTGGAGGCCGCGATGTCGCTTACGCCCTCCAATTCCCGGATGAGCCCAGCGGTTGGGTCTGGCATCAAGCTGACTGCTTCTCCCTCTCCCTTCTACAAGGCCACCCCGCGCGCCTCGCCCGTCAAGCAAGCGCGCGCCGAAGTCAACCTCTCGCTGCGCCAAGTCATCGGAACCACGACCAATTCGCCCAATGCCTTTGACAGTCTGCCCTCAGGTTCCACCTTTGGCTATGCTGCTGGCGCTGCAGCTGTCATTGCTGCCATAGATGATAACGGTCATGTCACCCAGCGTTTCTATCGCGCACGGCCTGCTACCAATCCCATCAACCCCTCGGCATCAATCTACGGCGGCCCATCAACACCCACTCAGAATGAGAGCCGCAACCGTACAGCTGTTTCTCTGCGCGACGCCAGTTTTGGCGCTTCGTCAGCCTCGTCACCTAGTAGTCAGGACTGGGCCGACTCTCCCAATAACAAAGCCTGGACCACAAGGGACAAGATAAAGGCAGCAACCTGCGTTAGCTTTAGCCCCGACGGCAAATACTTTGCTGTAGGAGAGGCAAGTCACATGCTTACACCTGATTCTATTATATCCTAACTTACTTCAGACGGGCTACAAACCTCGCGTCCTTATCTTCTCCGCCTCTCCCGATGTCCCCTGCGATACCCCTCTCTCATCACTTACAGACCACACCTTTGGCGTAAACTGCGTAGCATTCAGCCCCGATTCCCGCTTCCTTGCAAGTCTAGGCTCAGCCAACGATGGCTTCCTCTACATCTGGCACATCAACTCGCGCTCCGGAGCTGCCACGCTCCATGCTAGCAACAAGTGTGTCAGTCGAATCAACCGGATGGCCTGGATGGGAAGCAAGCTGATTACCGTTGGTGTCCGCCACGTCAAAGTATGGAAGGTTGACGATATCAATACCACGCTGCGCATTACCAGAGGCCGCCAGAGCGATGCTTCGTTTCTTTCCAGTTCCATACACAAGACACTACCAGGGAGAAATTGCATTCTTGACAGCCTCAAAGAATCAACATTTACCAGTGTCGTTGCCATAGCCCGAAACAAGGCTATTGTGGCTTCCGACAAGGGAGATATTTGTCTGATTGACGATTCGGAATCAGACCAACGCTTCCGCAAGCTGGCAGATGCTGGATTCGCCGTAAGCTCATTAGCGGCAGACGTCAAAGGCCGACTCCACGTTGTCGGTAGCCAAGGAACACTGAAAACCTTCAACATTAGTGAGATTACAGGGATAAGGACTCCTCCACCATCTCCTCCGCCGCGGGTTCAGTCTCCTACCGTCCCAGTTACCGATTGCGAACAAATTGGCGTCATTGCTTGCTTGAAAGACTACGTTGTCACTGTTGATTCCCAACGAGCGATTCGACTGTCGCAGTTGTGCTCTGATGATGACGATGCGGTTGTTGGTAAGGTGGTTCGCACATTGCCAGCACATGGCAAAGCAGTACTTGGCGTACACGCAGGGCTCGCTCAACCCAATGTTTTCGATGCATCCTATTACACATGGGCTGCTGATGGGACAGTCATCTTCTGGAGTCAGGGCGCGTGTAAAGACTCTCTCCAAGTCTACCTCGAACAGCTAGACGACCCTGAGGCGGTTCCCAATGAGTTAAGGACTGTACGCGTCACCGCCGACGGTACACATCTGATAGCAGGAGACAAATTCGGCGTATTGAGATTCATCAACTGTGAAACGAAGACTTGCATGCTGGAATTCAAAGCACATGCAAGCGAAATCACCAGTATCGCCATACACGAAGAAGAGCAAGAGATATTTGTCGCTTCCGCCAGTCGAGACCGGACCGTGCAAGTCTTTACGCGAACTGGAGAAACTTGGGAGCTGCTACAAACACTGGACGAGCATGTCGGATCAGTGAATGGAGTCACATTTTCACGCGATGGCACACGCCTGGTGTCGTCCTCAAGCGATCGAAGTCTGGTGGTTCGCGAACGATTGTCGCTCGAAGATGCCAACGGAATCAATCGCGCCTTCGTGATGTCACGGGCCATTATTGTAAAAGCTACACCCGTGTCTACGGCATGGGATGTCGATCTGGACGATACCCTTCTGGTTTCGACAATCGATCGTCAAGTGCACAAATTCGACATCCGTACAGGTCAATGCCTCAGCAACTTCCGTGCGTGTGATACAGATGGAGGAGATGCCGTTGTTTTGTCGTCTTTGGTCCACATATCTCGCGGTTGGGGCGCTCCATTGATCGCTGGCGTATCGAGCACAGACAAGTCGATACGTGTGTATGATGACAACGGTTTGCTAGTTGCTCGTGACTGGGGCCATACCGAGGGTGTTTCCAATATTGCGCTCGTGAATACGCCTCAAAATTTAGCAGACGAGTCAAGCGAAAAGTCGCTAGTTACTGTCGCAGTAGACGGGACTATATTTGTGTGGGATCTTGGCATCCAAACACCAAGTCGCCCCGATCCTCCAAAGGCTCCTGACCTACTTGTTCCAAACACGCCATCAAAAGAGGATCTGTTATCCAACAGGCCACCTCTACGGCGCGTACTGTCGCAGTCAGAATTGGCGCGTTATCAGCGCTCAAATCAGGAAGGAGACTCGACACCGAGTGGAAGCAGGTCACCGAAACTGAGAAAAAAGCTCTCAAAAATCTCCTTGGGCTCCACTCCCAAGCTAGAGCCTTCTCCTATCTCAAGCAGCGCGCGGGACGGGCAAACAACCTGTCAAGAGAAGGGCACAGGGCGGCGAAACAAGAATCGTTCGCCATCCCCTCCAAGTCCCAGGAACACACAACGACCCAAGCGCCGCGGATCACCAGACGCTAGGAACCGTAACAAAGCAACTGCCCGCGAATTCGGAACTATTGATGGATCGACAGAGAGCTTGTGCAGAACACTCCGGGCCTATAGAAAGCGCCTTGCAAATTCTACTGATACCATGAGCCCTGAGCTCGCGAAAGAGGTTGAGAGAGAGCTTGCCGTGACTGCAAGAGCAATTGGTGATCGAGTCAAAACCAAGGCTTTTGAAGAAACGGTCATGATCAAGCTGCTAGACCAGTACTCTGAGCGGCTGGTCAACATGCTGGACGAAAAGATTGCAGCCAGCGTGGCCCAACGCGTGCGTGAAAGCAGCGTGGGCAATTTTTCAGACGGACCCGATTCCCCTCGCGTTGCTCACCGTCCTTCTGCAAGTAGAACCGACAGTGAGGATATGAGGAGCTTTCGTGAGGAATTTGATTCTGGCCCCGAGGGCCAGAATAGCAGGAAGAAGTAGGCAGTGTAAGATAGGTGGTTTTGCCCCAAGGACCGGATATACAAGCCGCACATGATGAACAGTGCGGCAGATGCGGCGTTGAGAGGTGTTTTGTAAGTTCGTTAAGCGGGCGTTCTTTTTTCTTTTTGGGATAGTGAATGATGCTCTTTTCGTCGTTTTGAGCACGCACGTCCTTTAGGCATTGGAAAGTGTGGAGATATGGCCCGGGTTTGGCCATTTGTATTACTGTTTATTTTTTCCTTATCTCTCTTTTTGTCTACAGTACCACTACGCATGACATAATCGTAGTTCTTAGTTTTAGGTTATTTCCTTTTCCTTTCCTTTGTTCATAGCATCCATATCTCATTCACTTGATAATGCACCCATCTCTATCGTACCTAGGACCTCCTCACTATGTGATGCCTCTTATATTTACAACTTTGCAACCTCTTGCAAAACCCTCAGGTCTTCTCTGCTCAAATCCGCCAAACTCTTCTTACCCAGATTCGCAAGCGAATTGTCAGTATCGGCCAGTATACAGTCCAGGACATGCTTCACACCCTCTTCACCCCCCATAGCAAGTCCATACGCATACGGACGACCTACAAGCACCGCCTTTGCGCCCAGCGCCAGCGCCTTGAGTACATCCGATCCAGTCCTAATCCCCGAATCAAAAAGAACCGTCAAATCACTCTCCTTTACCTTCTCATCCGCCGTAATCTCCGCCAGCGCATCAAGCGATCCAATCGCGCCGTCAAGCTGGCGGCCCCCATGATTCGATACCACAATACCATCCATCCCATACTCAATCGCCCGATGCGCATCCTCCACCGTCTGAATCCCCTTGAGCACAATCGGCCCCTTCCATAGCGCCTTAAGCTTCTCAAGCTGACTCCAATCCCTATACGTACCCGACGCCACCAGACTGGTAAAAAACAGCGCCTTCTTCATGACCGACGCATGCGCCAGCACCTTGGCCGCACCCCCAATACTCCCGGGTCTCTTAAGAATCTGCCAAATCTCCGCGACCTTGTCCGCCGCCGACCGCGTATCCCGCGCCTGTTCTTCTGCGAACAGCTGGTTGAAGACCGGGTCCGAGAAGGCGACTTGGCAGCCCTGGCCCCAGACAAAGGGCAGATACGAGGCATCGAGGTCGTTGGGGCGCCAGCCGATGATAAAGGTATCGAGGGTTACGACGAGGACTTTGTATCCGTTTCCCCACGCGCGCGACAGGAGGGACGCGGTGAAGGCTTCCGCTGAGGGCTTTGGCCAGTACAGTTGGAACCACCGGTCCCCCTCTGCGCCGTTGGCGGCGGCGACTTGCTCGATGCTGCGGGTTGCGGCTGTGGATAGTATCATGGGGATTTTCGCGGCGGCGCAGGCACGCGCTGTTGCTTCTTCGCCGTCTTGATGCAGGATTTCCTGCACGCCGATGGGGGCTGCGAGGAGCGGGCTGGGGTATCTGGTGCCGAAGAGGGTGACGCTCATGTCGCGCCGGGTGACGGGGACGAGCATCTTGGGGCGGAGGCGGTACCGCCTGAAGGCGGAGAGGTTGGAGCGGTAGGTATCTTCGCTACCGGCGGAACCGGCGACGTAGAGGAAGTTGGGTAAGGGGATTGCGGCGCGGGCGCTGGCTTCCCATTGTGAGGGTTTGGTGGAGTATTTGGGGGGGTGGAGGGAGGAGTAAATGTCGCGTTGGTAGGAGGAGTAGGATGTTGGGTCTGGTTCGTAGTCTGTTGTTGCTGCTGTTTTGGAAAGCACTTTTGTGTCCGTCATGGTGGGGGGCAAGTGTTATTTTTGTTGGATTATTTTGGGTGTGACACGAATGCGACTGTTTGCATGGTTTGTTGCAACCGTGGAGATGGGATGCGTGGAAATGCGGAGGACGCGATCGATCGACGCGGAGGTGTGGGGGACCAATCGAGCACGAGAGTTGACATGCCGAGGCTCCCCACTACTCGCGTTTGGACCAACCAACAGTTGTGCTATGTTGGTATTCTCTTATTCGTGTTCTTTTCCCTCATTTTGTGAAGTAGGAAGTAGGTATGGTGGGATTGATTGGGGATGGAAAGACCAGAGCGGGTTACTTGCCTGTAGCGGGCGTGCAAGTATGTTTGTGAATAAGACAGGTGTTAAGGAGCAGACACTACGACCCACCTTCAGGCAGGAAAGAATTGGTTCTTCGAAAGGCTCCTCACCGCCCAAAACGCAGTTCCCAAACGACCAGTGATGCAGTAAAAACGCCAATTCTTCATGATACACTTTAATATTCATCCACGTTATTCATTTCGTTACTGAAGCCACAATGGCATCGTATACATTTTGGAGCTTTACAGCAGCCATCGTTATAGCTACACTTTCAGCACTATACAGCGTCTACCATACCTCATTCCTGTCGGAAATTGGTCCCTCACTTTATGCTCACATTGGTTGTCCAACGGTGACTACACACCCTGGCTATCTGGGCTACGGGGGCGCTGAGAAACCTCATCATTCGAGCTGGGACGCTTGGTGGCATCCACAGCGCAGTCATGGCAGAGGCGATAAGAGCAAAGATAGTGCAGGGGTACTGACAGAGGGCTGGAATATCTTGTATCATCTTGGTGGTAATGGGCCATGGGTGGAGAAGGTGATTGATGTTGTCGAGGGAGGTGTTGCAACGCCTGAGGAATGCGAGGTGGTGCAGGTTCACATGGTATGTCCTGCTCATAACTGGGATATCTACCCTATACTTCCTAGGCACCATTACTGTTGGAAAGGATTGTCGAATAGATATTCGCTAACGTAATTTGTGAAGATGGCTCGGCATGCTGAGCGGTACCCTACTAAGAGAGCTGGTAGTGGTGAGTGAGCATACAGGCTATGGCCTTGATAAATACTTACCATATTTCCAGCCCAGAAAGCTGTTGTTAAGCGTATGAAAGAATCCGGTAGAGTCTTTACCGGCAACTTGTCATTTTTCAATGAATGGGAGCTTTTCTGGTCTTCAGGTATGTCCTTGGTTCACCTCAAGTCTGATTTCGCACTTACTAAATGAAAATAGATGAAGATGACCTGGAGCAACTCACATCCACTGGTCCCTTTTCCGGAACGCTCGGCTCCTTTACTACAGGAGTTCGCCTTCGCACTCGTTACCGACATCTAATTGACCAAGCTGCGACTATTCATCCGGATCATCCTACTACCTTTTGGGCCAGTGGCTCCAACCGTGTAATTGAGACAGCCAAACACTTCGCTGCAGGCTTCTTCGGAATCGACTACGCCAAATCAAACATAGCAAATCTCTCAGTCATATCAGAGCACTCCTCGCTCGGTGCAGATACGCTGACACCCGGACGGACTTGTATTGCCAACAAGAAAGACAAGGAGCATGGACAGCCAAAAGGATACCGTCTTATGCGAAAATATCGCTCTAATTACATGCCTCCTATCCGCAAACGACTTCTCGAACAGACAGGCATGGAGTTTAACGACGAAGAGATCTACGCCATGCAGGAAATGTGTGGGTTTGAAACCACAGTTCGCGGACGGAGTGATTGGTGCAATGTTTTCACTCAAGAAGATTTTCTCAGCTTTGAGTACGCAAGAGATATCTTGCACTACTACCGCGCCGGGCCAGGACAAAAGTATGCAAAGAGCATGGGATGGTTGTGGGTGAATGCTACAACAAACCTGCTACTGCAAGGCCCAGAAGAGGCAGGCCCGTTATTTTTCAGCTTGTAAGTTTCCCATCTTGTTACAAGCACTGCAGCCGATAACATGGAAACGGGAATTAACGTGACCCCAAACATAGTGTTCACGATGGCGATATCGCACCCATGATATCTGCGCTCGATGTCATTAACGATGACCAACACCTCCCCATTACACATATCCCCCACGACCGCAAGTGGCGCAAGTCCCAAGTCTCACCCATGGGCGGCCGCATCATCTTCGAACTGCTCTCATGCAAAACAGGCAGGAGCGACGATAGCCCTCGAGAGAAGTTTGTTCGACTCAATATTAACGACGGTATCACAGCCTTGCCAGATTGTCACAGCGGGCCAGGAAAGAGTTGTCCTTTACATGAATTTGCTGAGAGGACGAAGAAGAAGGGCGAGGAAGTGGAAGAGTTCAAGGACTTGTGTGGATTAAGTGATGACGCAGCCAAGAGGATAACGTTTTTGAGTCAGAAAAAGGATAGTGAGTAGGGATAGTAGTGACGGACGAACACACGATTCTTCTTTGTGTATGTCAAAGTCTTGAATGAAGAAAATAGTTCCAAAGTGTCTAGTTTATGGTGGCGCAATCATGCCATGCGAATCTATCTTCACTGATAACAGATGAGATGAACAGTTGTCTTGGAAAAGATAGGTCCAAACGACCAAAGTTCTTCCTTTCCAAGCTGTGGAACTAGGTTACTTTCTTACTTTGTTCACTTTCATTTTCTGAGCTAGCAAAGGGTTCTATACATTAGTATGACGATCTGTAGCTGTAAATGAAAACAACACAGTTAATTTAGGCATCTTGGAATATACCTTGCAGATTTGCTATACATCTACTGTATCGTACATGAACAACTTAACTACACAAGGTTTATGCATGCAAGTAACTAGTTAGACAAGTGGAGTGGCCCAGTTTCCATCACGCCATATGGCTTTAGTGGTGAAGCTGGTGCCGCGAATCAGCCTGGCACTCTGGGTAGGCAGACTAACTAGGCGATGAGTCAAGCCAATTTGCCTGCTGCGCCGGCTGGCTGTGCTACACAATGCCAAGTGCCCCGCTCAGCTGAACAACCTTACCACTTATCAGGCTACTTAGTGATGATACCCCAACATCTCTATCCACACTCGAAGTACTCAGAGAAACGTAGCAATGAGCTTTGGGTTCAGCGTTGGCGACTTTCTGACGGTGATTGCACTAGCCAGCAAGATCAGGAAAGACTTCGTTAGTGCTCCAAGCCATTTCAAGGACATATCCAATGTGTATGTGACTGCGATAGGTGAAAAGGCTATACTGACACTGTTAACACATAGGCTCCGAAGCCTTTCTATTGTCCTCAGCGATGCTGAAGTAACGGTATCCGAACACGAACTCAATCCTCAAGAGGAAACAGATTTCCAAGATGTCCTTGATGGTTGCCAACATACTCTTCGCAAGCTGAAACACACCGTAGACAAGTATATCGTGCTGAACTCACAGCAAACGAGCATTGGTGGCAAACTGAGAAAATCATGGGAGCGACTATCTATGGAGCCAGAGGACATTCGCGATCTTCGGAGTGATGTAAATGTCAATATCGATCTACTCACCGCACTAACTGGGCGGCTTACTCGTGACAACACCTTCAAATTAGTGCGGTACCAAGAAGACAAGGAGCAGCAAGTCATCCTTGACTGGCTAACACCAACTGACTACGCTCCTCAGCAGAACGACTTCCTCAAGCAGTGGCAAACTGGGTCTGGAAAATGGCTTCTAGACTCGGCAAAATTCAAAAGATGGTCAGAGACCAAGAATCAGACATTGTTTTGCCCGGGTATACCAGGAGCTAGGAAAACAATCATCACATCAATTGTAGTAGACGAGCTTTCTTCCCGCTTCAAAGATGAAAGCAACAACGGTATTGCATATATCTACTGCAACTTCAAACGGCAAAACGAGCAAACGTTGGAAGACCTACTCGCAAGCGTACTGAAGCAGCTAGTTCAAGCAAGATCTTCTCTTCCGCAAACTGTCAGGTCCCTTCATGACCGGTATAGATCTATGAAGGCCCGGCCTTCAATAGATGACATCTCCATGGCACTTCATTCGGTGGCTGCTGAATTCTCGCGAGTCTTCATCCTCGTCGATGCGCTGGACGAATGTCGAGTCAATGACAGCTGCCGAGCGAAGCTACTCTCACAACTCTCACAACTCCAGACCAGTTGTGGAGCGAATCTTTTCGCGACATCTAGATTTATTCCAGACATTACATCGAGATTTGAACGAGATACTTGGTTGGAAATCCGCGCCAGTAAGCAAGACATGGATAGATATGTAGAAGGGCATATCCATCAACTGCCGCGTTTTGTTGGACGTGATTCGGATCTAAAGCAGGAAATTAGCTCTGAGATCGTCAAAGCTGTCGATGGCATGGATGCAGCTTCTTACCCTGTTCTTGAAGATCTCACTAACTGTACTAGGTTTCTACTTGCACAACTTCATCTCAGTTCTTTAAGAGGAAAAAGGTCCCGAACGGCTATTCGAGATGCTCTGAAGAAATTGCCCACTGGCACGGAATCATACAATTGTGCATATTCTGATGCTATGACGAGAATCGAGGGACAGCTACCGGATGAAGCAACACTTGCGAAGGAAGCTCTATCATGGATCACTTGCGCAAAAAGGCCGTTGACTACCATAGAGCTTCAGCATGCTCTTGCTATTAAGGACGGACAAGTAGAATTCGATGAAGACAACAAATCAGACATCGAGGATATTGTTTCGGTGTGTGCTGGGCTAGTCACTGTTGACGAAGAGAGCGGCATTATTCGCTTAGTGCATTACACAACGCAAGAATACTTCGAATGGACGCAAAAGGACTGGTTTCCAACCGCAGAACTAGACATCATGGCGATCTGTATAACATATCTTTCATTCACGGTCTTTGGAAGGGGACCTTGCAGCACGGACTATGGCTTTGAGGAACGACTGCAACTAAACCCATTGTACGACTATGCCGCCCACTACTGGGGTCACCATGCCCGTCAGGTTCGGAGTTCACATTCGAAAATCATCGAATTTTTTCATCGCGAAATGAATGTGGAAGCAGCATCCCAAGCAATGCACGCCCGCAAGCGGTTCTCATGGCAAGATCGCTATAGTCACCTATTTCCGAGGCGGATGACAGGGCTGCATTTATGTGCATATTTCGGTATTATAGACGTAGCTGTAGCAATTGTTGGTCTTGCAGATCTCGACTCGAGGGATGGATACCGCCGAACACCGTTATCGTGGGCTGCCGAAAACGGACACGAAGGTGTAATCAAGCTACTACTAGACACAGACAAGGTTGATGTTGAGTCGAGGAATTATAACAACCATACGCCACTATTTGTAGCCGCTCGGAATGGACATGAAGATGTAGTCAAGCTGCTACTAGACACGGACAAAATTGACCTTGAGTCGAGGAACCATAACTGCCAGACGCCTCTATTTACAGCCGCCAATAAAGGGAACGAAGGTGTAGTTAAGCTGCTGCTAGATACAGGCAAGGTCGAGACCAACTGCAATAATGAATACGGCCAGACGCCGCTATTTATAGCCGCTAAGAAAGGAAACGAAGGTGTAGTTAAGCTACTACTAGATACAGGCAAGGTTAAAATCAATTTGAAGGATGAATATGGCTGGACACCACTATCATCGGCCGCTCTACGAGGGCATGAAGGCGTGGTGAAGCTACTGCAGTCCGCTGGTGCTTCGTAGCTTATTGCTCGTTTGAAATAATATCAACCTCCATGCCCATCGCCTTACGAAGCAGCGTTCCTCATATATCCCAAATGTGCTCTAGAACTTTCCTTGGATTGGGACTTAAATGACTAAAGAAACTGTTGTACTTATTGAGGCGTAGTATATAGATAATGGCTGCTGTGGTGTACGTGCACATGCTAAACAACATAAGAAATAACTGTCCAAGCACAAGCCTTAAATCAAGACCTTCAGCATACAACAGCGAGGTGAGCAGAGGGTAGCTCGATAGAAGGGCCGATGTGGCTTGCTATAGACCCAGATGTAGGGAATTGTGGCTTGATCTGAGTGTACACTCATAAATCAAATACTATGGTCCCCAGCGTGTAACCGGAGCTAATTCGCAGCACAAGCCTCATCGCCCCTGCACCAAGAAGCAGGCCTCCCATGACGGAGTTAAAAAAAAATTTACAAATTACGAAAATTTTACTACAAAACACTAAAGTAAATTGAGAAGGCCCTTTGTTAGGAGGCCCACGCTATACGAACAAGGCAAAGTGCAAGACCCGAAAACCGATTCCGGTCAGTACTGTACCTACTTCTCAAAGTTTACAAATACTCTCGTCTATTTTAAGCTTTCTGTTTCAAGACGCTTGCTAGTACCCTTTGTACACATCCTTTACACCAGCTCCTTCGGATATGCGGCAATGAACCTGAAACGCTCAAGTCAAGACCCATGGGAATGTGTTCATAGTTGTGTACTCATATGAGTTTAGTTTGGGCACCCTAGACGGAGAAAAACAATGCCGAGATAAGAGCGCTGCAGTACCCATCTTGTCGGCGAGACTGACGGGAAGCTTGTGTTTAAGAATACGGGTAGTACCTGCAAACGGCATCATGCCTGGATGATTCTGCCCCGCAAGTTTGGTGCATTAGAGCCACGAACCAACCAACAGCGCTCATCTGCTAAATTCGTGTGGAGGTAGAAAATTCCAAAAGTAGTTATTTTCCTTGATTACTAGGTGTCAAGGTGACAAAGCACGCTTGGACCACCATCCTCTGCCTTCTTTCGCATTGTTACGTTCTCATTTACATGTTCCCACACCCAAACAGCGGCGTCGGTCTGACGTCTTTTCCTTGAAAGGTCAAGGCATCGCGAGTCATACAATAGCCTAAATAGTCAGCTGTCAGTTTACAGAAGCCGTTATGCGTCGGCCGCCCTCACCGCATGCCGCACGCGCAATTTCTTTGGTTAGGTATACTTGTTCTACTTACATAGTTGATCAGTCAACAGCAACTAAGTAAAATGGCGCCATCAGCACTAAACATCTGCTGCAAAAATAGATGTAACATTTCGATCGAATACTAATCCTGTTGGCGCAATGAAGATGAATAAATTGACCCGACAGGAAGTGTGTCTACTAGATTGCGACAAGCCGCCGAGCACCATTGCACAAAATGATGACGGCAACATCTGAACATCTCCAAGCCTTTGCGCCCCTCAGTTGGGCCACACCATACCTTACATCTCCCAAATGGATGGTTTGCGACCGCGAACGAGGGTCTGAGCCTGGGGAAGATACGGACCGATTCTGTCGCGACACCATGCGCGCAAACCACGGTGTGCAACACTGGGTCGAGCTACACGAACAGCCTAGTAACCCCGGCGGAAAAATTACAAAATCGATTTCCCTAGTAAAGTTTGGCACGGGCTTAAACGGCTTTCCTGGTATTTGCCATGGAGGCGCACTCTTCACGCTCATGGACGAAGCAATGTGCTACATTGTTGTTGCAAACACGGTGGTTGAGCACGGCGTTGCATTCATGAAAGCTGGCGAGGAACAATGGCGACTACAGCTTTTCCACGGTAAATTGGCACAAGAGATTCTTAAGGGCCGTTTGGTAACGGCAAACATGGACACCAGGGTACTAGCCCCGGTGCTTTGCCCAGGCATCGTAGGCATTGAGACCGATGTTTTGGAAGATAAGGGAAACAAGATGCGGATAAGAGCTATTATGAGGGATCGACAGGGCAAGCCCGTCGTTCAAACCGAGGGCCTGTGGGTGCGAGTGGGAGGTGCAGCAAATTTGTGATGACGATTATCTGCAAGGGACCAAGATGTGTCGAAACGGCGCACACGCATATAGTCAATGTAATGGTTCCTGGAGGTCGGCATGGAAGCCAGTTTGTCCTTCCACAATAGTGCATTACCATAAACACGTGTGCCGGGACCCCGGTCAACGTCGCATTAACACCGGGCACGCTAGCCGCTACTAGATTGACATGTACTGGTCCTTACTGTAAAGGCATCCCTCTCCGACAATACCTGTGCCTCCCATGGACAAGGCGCAGTCAGTTGAACGCACATGCCAACAATCTTTCCTTCTATTCGTTAGTGACGTCTAAGTACGCCTGACCTATCTTGAACCCCACCCATACGGTCATTTACAATGGTTGTGAATATTTCTATTTGTATAAGAGCGATGATCTATCACCAGATTCTGAGGATTGTCCTCTACACAGCAAACCTGACCAGTCCTTTGCTCTTTTCAAGATGCATTCCATCCTTGCCTCGGCCGTTGCTCTCTCTTCGTTGCTCCCTCTGAGCCTCGCTCAGACTTCGGGCACATTGAACACTCTCACATTTAACGTTGCTGGCCTTCCTGCTGCCCTCAATGGCAATGACGTCCCCGGTGACAAGACGACCAACACTGCTCGTATCGGAGAGCTTTTCACAAAGTACAACATCTCGCTCATCCATGTTCAAGAGGACTTCAACTACCACGCTACCCTCTATGCGAGCGACAAGCACCCATACCGAACGGCCACTAGCGGTGGTGTACCCTTTGGTAGCGGCCTAAACTCGCTGAGCAACTTTCCCTTTACCAGCTTCAATAGGGTCAAATGGAACACTTGCAGTACTTTCGAGTAAGTTTAACATTTCCAACCATGAGAATTGATACTAACAGTACCCCCTCAACAGTAGCGCAGACTGTCTTACACCCAAGGGCTTCACTGCCATGCGAGTGAAGTTCGCCGAGGGCGTCGTCATCGACGCCTACAACCTGCATGCAGACGCCGGGTAAGTCTCAATTAAAAGATCAAATACCTCGCACAGCAACTGACAAATCCAAAAGTACCACAGACGCCGACAACAAAGCCCGAGCAGACAACCTCCGCCAAGTATCCGACTACATCAAAACCTACTCCATCGGCAACCCCGTCATCGTCTTCGGCGACTCAAACTCGCGCTACACCCGCACCAACGACATTCCCGCCGTCTTCAAAGAGCAAAACGGCATGACCGACGTCTGGATCGACCTCATCAAGAAGGGTGTACCCCCCGCTAAAGGCGCAGACGCCCTCCTCTGCTCCAACCCCTCGACCACAAACGACTGCGAAATCGTCGACAAAACCTGGTACCGCGGCTCCGCCGCCGTCAAGCTCACCGCGCGGAAATTCGACTACGCAGGCCACATGTTCCTGCAAGACAACGGCGACATCCTCAGCGACCACAACGGCGTGCTCGTTGACTTTGACTGGGCGGCCGTCGACCGCTTCACGCTCTCCGACACGTTTGGCGGCGAAGGCGGCAACTGGTTCAACGACCTCGACACCGTTGCTGGGGTGAGCGGCGCAAAAGTGGCGTCTGTGACGCTGCGCGGTGCGGATCGCGTGGATAATATTGCGTTTACGCTTGCGTCGGGCCAGACGCTGGCGCATGGTGGCACGGGGGGTACGGCGGCGAGCTTGACGCTGGCGAGTGGAGAGACGTTGACGAGTGCGACCATGTGTCAGGGGCAGAGGAACGGGACGAATCGTCTGTTTTACGTCGAGTTCAAGACTAGTGCGGGCAAGACGCTGGCGACTGGTGCTAAGACGAGTGATTGCGTTACGAGGACTGCGCCGGCTGGAAAGAGCATTGTTGGGCTTTTGGGGCGTGCGGCGGATGGGGTTGATCAGGCTGGGCTGATTTACTCAAAGTAAATCGGTGGGTTTGGGGTGATGGGCACTACTTTTTGTGCTTCTTCTTGTGTTTATTTTTTTACATATATATCTGGATATGAGGGATGATCAATTTATGTTATGGTGATATGCGAATGTTGTGTATGAGGTTCAGGTATGGGTGATGTTGTTTACTTTGTGGGTTTAAGGCGTGCTGTAAGTACTATGTAGTACTAGCCGCTGTGTAGAGAACTGTAAGTGGAGTCCCGCCGGCCATAGCCGCTTTGAGACGCTCCCTTCTTTTACTAAGTAGTATCTTGGCACCTGCATAGTGACCCGCGTAGCCTAGTCCGTTGACTCCAAGTCACCACGGTCCCCGGTCATGGATGTAGGGATCGTTTTTCGACTTGTTCGCACGGGATATTACATTGCATGTATGATTCTGCCTTGCTATTTTTGAAGCACTATCCAGTTATCAAAATTTAGGCAGTTTGCAGAATATAGCAGATATAGCACGGAAGTATGGATTTGAGGGGGGACATGGCTTATGGTGAAAAGAAATATAAAAGCAGTATGATACTTGGCGTGACATATCTTTCCCTCGGCACTGCAACTTTATTAATTTCAATACGTC